CACACACACACACACACACACGCACGCACACACACACACACACACACACACACACACACACACACAAAGCCTTCAACAAGCCATGTACGTGAAACACATGAGAGGTGCTCAAGAAAAACTACAGCTTGGTTGATGGAAGCAGTGGGGGAGCAATGATTGTGCATACTTCAACACGTGCACAGTTTTACACAGAGGGAAAGTCAAAATATTTATGCACAGCTCCCCAGAGAGCTGCCTTTCAGCTGATGAGGAGCATTAGCACTTTTCCCATGGTAGCTASCTCTCAGTGCATCATGAGCACAAGATTATGATTTGAGAATGACTGCCGTGTTAAAAAAACATAAATACAGTTTAAAAAAAAGGAACAAAAAAACAAACGGCATACAAGGAACAGGCGTTACGATTTGCGGGCTCAAATACTGGTCCAATATATGCTTAATACGAGTACACGCAACATCAAAAAGATAGCAGTGCTGTCATTCAAAGCAATTACTTGGAGCCATTAGTGGCAGAAATGTACCCAGGATAACATCATTTTCATGGTAGTCGAGCAGCTGGCTTGATGGCTGCAGATGAGGCCAATAGAAACCAAAATTGCAGGGAGTTATCGCTGGATAGAGCTACTGTGCTGCAGTCACTGTGGCTCAAATGAATGTGGCAAACTGCTTTTTTTTTTCCAGCGTCACTCAGGCATCTTGCCGGGCCCCTAATTGAAGACCATCAGGCCCACTTGAGTCTGTCCACCAGTGTGGTGAGCGAGCGGCTGGAGAGTCACATTGATTTTCTTTCTTCCCGACTTGAAAGCCACGGCGAGGAGCGTTTTGACTCAAAAGAGAGTTGACATTTAGCGTTACAGCTAAAGAGTAGCCTTGGAGAACAGTAGGCGCTATTAATTTCACAGCTTCCCTTGTATTTACTCGGAGAAAGTGGAGAGATTTTGCCGAGGGACAGCATTCCCCGGATGCTGCAGTTTTGCTCTTAACTTCGCCACACTTGGGAGAATGTCAGACATTTTGAGAGGGGGGAAAAACAACAAATGAAAGCCACTTTTTTTTCCAACCAAAAAATAACAATAATAATGTGGAGCTGGAGTGATGAAGATAGAAGTGGAATTTTCTCTGATTATTARCATTAAACTTCATGCTCCATCATGACTCACTGCTGAAGAGAACAGATTGTAAAACACGATTGTTCACTAACTTCTTTTCCTTTTTCATCATATTTTTCATCAAATTAAATCTATCCACCCCTTTGAATTTAGATTGATCTGGTCAAACACTAAAACCTTTTGTGCAGAGGACAAAAAAATAATAATAATAAATTGTGACATGAAAGGTTGTTCTGATACCAATACCAGTATCAGTAACACATTTAATGACATCTTTAACACATTGTTGACATCTTTTAATTAAATACAATGTTTTTCCACCACTATATAGTTGTAAACCCCTCTATCAAACTAGAAAAGATTGCGAGTTGTGAAGCACCTCATTTGGAATCAAAGAGACAGCCTCAAAATGAGTTAATATGAGACACACCTCAGAAAAGTGGTGAAAGAAGGGCTTGTGGAGTTACAATAAAGAGAAATTCAGGCCAAAACCTTGCAGTTCCACTTTATATAGATCCCAGCTGAATGATTTAAATGTGATAAAGAAAGATTTAAAAGCACAATATATCTCCTTAAGTGGATGTATACAAGTTAAAAGAAAAAAATATTTGTTAATTTCATTCATTTTAAAATGTTGCAACATATCATGCTGTATGTTTGATTTGATCCAGTCAGAAGGGCTGTAGTGTGTGTAGTGTTTTAAAACTCATTGTGTAATGTTTAAGTTCTAACTTAGTAAGTACTTGATATTGGTACTTACACTGGAGAGTACCCAAASTGAAGTACTTGTATTCRGTTTGAGAAAAACRTGTATTGAAACATCCCCAGTGACGTGTCTTCACAGTGCATCCTAGATGGTTGCATACTGCATTTSACTTYATATCGGATTGTTATTTAATTCAAATCTTTCTTTTTAAATTCAGTTTCTTATTTTATTGAACACAAATATATTTTATCCTATTTTAACTTACTGTTGTTTGTTCATTTTCATTTTATAAGTGTATTTGCTTATTTCATCTTTTCTAAAATTGAATTCATGTTTTTTGCATTCAAATGTATACAAACAWAAAAACAAGCCATTGTTTTCATAAAACGGCTGTGCAAAACGCAGCCATGTGGTTTTCTTGTCACATAGTTATAAACATCCTGAATTAAGTGAGACTCTAACTGAAAATGTACTTATTTTCTCACAACACTGAGTCACAGACTGGTCTCC